AAATAAATAAAAATTAGCAGTTGCCCCTAGGAGGAAAAAGGAAAGAGGAAGAAAGAAAACCATGTTGTTTTAAAGCAGCCAGATGACAAAAGGGTGGTTGTAGCTTCAGATAAAGAGTGAGGATACACAGTTGGGCTTCAGCCTGCATCCAATAGAAAGGAAAGAAAGTGAAAAGTGAGGACTCAGAAAAGCAGGCCAACTTAGAAGAGCTACATTTGAGTAAATGCACCATGGGTAGAGTTCTGGGGAAAGAAAAGTATATTATCTCATTGAGGAGATAACAGTTCCTCCCATCTCTTTATGTGGCTGTAGGTGAGTTAGCCTTCCTGATAGGTGGTCTCTTGGCCATGTGATTGACAGCTCCATCTCTTTTTATTTTCTAATTTATTTTTTGGTCTTTTTAAATTGAATTTTGAGAGTTTCTCAAGCAATATAATTTTATCGTATTTAAACCTCCTTCTCTATGTGCATCCTTTTTATTGCCCCCTACCAGATTTCATGTACTCTCTTATATATTAAGGCATAGTGAACTGATTTGTGCCCCCAAATGTTCTTCAGTGTGTGTCTATCCAATGGAGCCTGGTTAGCCTATCTAGCATCACACCCTTAAAGAAAACTGACTCTCCGTCTCCCAGCAGTGATTAGTTGCCAATAGTTTCTCAACTAATACTAGGGCTTTTTACTCACTTTACCACTTCTATGCTGTGATTTTATTTGGCTTGAGCTTGACTGTGTCTTGTGCATACTGTTATCGTTGCTATGAATGGCTGAGTAACTGTCCAGCTGTCTGGAAAATCATTTCCTTATGGTCATCCATCACCTCTGGTTCTTCTAATCTTTCCATCCCCTCTTTTGCAATGGTTACTGAGCCCTGGGTGACAGAGTTTCGGTATAGATGTCCTATTCAGGGATAAGCACTCTGCAGGGATCAATTTCTTAAGGAAGGAGACAGTGGTATGCTTTGGAGATCAGGATGTCCTGTCTCCACAAGAGGTAGTCCATTAAGGAGAGGTCCATCCTTAGTACCCCCTGAGGCCCCTATAACACTTTTAGAACATTTATGTAGCATCCACCTCATTAATTTTTGTCTATCACTGGCTTTTCTTGTGCATGCTCTGTTCATAATGTGAAACCCAAGTGAGGAAGGACTTTCATTCTTTCTCTGCAAACTGGCCTGTGCATCTCCCATTTGTAGTGCGAAGCCCAGGTGGAGCAGGACTTCCCATCTTTCTCCGCAAACTGGCTTCTTTGTGTGTTTATCTTGAACTGCTATCTCCAGTTCCACAACCCCTGAGAGCTATGGTCCCCAAAGTCTTTTGGAAGAGCATACGGTAATAACTTTTTATAACTGTTTTCATATTGATGAGGAGCATAGCCCCTGTGAAAGAAGGACCACAAGACCCTACTTTATTTATTGGTTTGGAGGAAACTTTGGAGTTTCTATAATAGAAGTTGACTGAAATCCCTGTACCTATTGCATTAAGATGCAAACAAGTGTCTGATCACCTCAGATATGCATGAAGTACAGAGCAAAGTATGATTTCACCAAACTACAACTTGATGAGTTTCTTGTGGTTAGTTAAGTAACATGGGTGAGGAGTTACTTACAAGAGTATGGGTGACCCCCAAAGAGCGACATCACTGAAAAGTCCCAATCCATCATGAATGGTGACCTCATGGAAGGCACATGATGGAGTCCTGCTTTCAATTAATCTTTCACTACAGCTGGGGCAGGGGAAACAATAGCTAGAATCTTAGGGGAGGGTCTACTGACTCTTCCTTATTTCATTCCCCTCCCCTAGGGAATAGAAATATCTCCATTACGATTACCTTAGACCTGTGGGCCACTGCCTTGTAGCATACCAGCTGTCATGGCTATCTGGGTAAAAGTCTAAGATGGTATCATGCTATGCTGGGAGGAAAAATATGTTAAACAACAGTATAATAGTCAACTTAGTGTGAAATCATTACATATTTTAGAAATTTTTCAAGGAGAAAACAGAACAAGAGTAACCATGGCCCCAGAAAGTGTGAGCTTCAAGAGAGCCATGGCTAGATTTGTTTTGTGTGAGCTATTCTTTGTGGCTTGTTTTGGGGCCTGTGATCTCTTGACTTGTAAAAAAAGACAAAAAAAAAAAACAAAAAAAAAACAAGCAAAATCCATACTAATGATTATGTATTAATAGTGTGGCAAGATAGAAATGAATAATTTTAAGAAATGCTGGAAAGAGTGAAGGGAAAATAGTATGAGGTTGTGTCAAAATTAAAATAATGAAGAAAACAAAGTAAGCTTATAGTTACTGATAGATTTAACTTAATCTAAATGGGTTTATATAAATTGAGCTTATCTCTGTTTTATGCCTTGGGTGGCTGTGATTGTCCTGCTTTGCATATCAGTGTCCACAGTTAGGATTTGATGGAAAAGGCTGTGAGGTCTGAATCAGTTTGTTTGCTTGGTTGGTTGGTGTCTGTTTGTTGTTAGAGACTAGTTTACTTTTTTGTTTTGTATTTTTTGTTAGTTGTTTTACTCTTTGGCTATATTTTCCTGCTGAGTTTTTAAGACCAGGAAAGTAGCCTAAAATTAACCACTGTGGGTTTTTGGCTGCTGTTACTAAGTCAGTTGAGGTTTTCAAGGCTTACACTTAGAGGCAGGAGGAACCCTTGGTACCACTGGTCTTCCTTTACTAGTTGTGTCAGCCACTGGAGTGGATCAAGGTCTTGTCTACCATGTGGCTTCCTCTGTAAGCACTGGGGACTTTGTGCGTGTGTGTGTGTGTTGAACCTCCTCTTTTCAGAATGTACACTGGTCAGAGTTCAATCTCTGGGATCTCCATAGCTTCTTTGATTAAGAGAACCCATAGGTCACTGGAACTGTACAGCACTTTGAGAAATGTTCTATTATCACCTGAGACGTTGCTGACCTGTGGACAAGGGCCAAAATGTAGGCTATCTTCTCCTTCTCCTTCTTCTTCCTCTTCTTCTTCTTCTTCTTCTTCTTGTTTGTTTGTTTGTTTTATTTTTTTGGTCTTTTTGAGACAGAGTCTTCCTGTAGCCCCAGCTGTCCTGGAACTCACTATACAGACCAGGCTGGCCTTGAGCTCAGAGAGATCTGCCTGCCTCTGCCTCCAGAGTGCTGGGATTAAAGGCATGCACCACCACGCCCCGCTATAGGCTATCTTCTTAACACCTATATTTTTATTGGCTTTGCCTTTCAAGCATAGTTATCAAACATCCACAAGATCAGTTACACCAGAATTGAAGAAAAAATTATGCTTTAAAATTTTCTATTTTATAATATATAGATAAAACTTTACAGAGGGCCGAGGTGGGTCTGTGAGTGGAAGCACTTGACCCAAGCTCGGTGACCTGAGTTTCATCCCTGGAACCTAAATGGTAGAAGATAAATAAGTGCTGAGAGTTGTCCTTTGACCTCCACACATGTACCATGGCAGGCACTTCTACACCCACACCCATACAACACACACACACACACACACACACACACACACACACACATATACACCCCACACTCAATAAATAAACAAAAGTTACCACAGGACCAAGCCTTTAATCTAGTGATCCCAGAACTCACCACAGCACTGGAGTTTTAGCTCTAACAATCCTAGAGCTTGTGGTGGGATCAGGTTCTGACTCCATTGCCCACCTGGTTCACAGAGTTCAGTGACAGACCAGAATTTTGACTATAGTCCCCAGTGGGTTCACAAAGTTAAGGGCATGATCAGAATTTTGACTCCATCTGATTGCCCTGGTAATCACTGTGAGGCCTTACCCATGGTCCTGTTGTTACCTAGCCAAGACCAGATAACCTCAGTAATTCTACCTGATAGTCAACATCAATCATGATGGCTCAGTAGGTTGTCAACTTGACTGGATCTGCTCTTGCAAAGGACCTGGTTTTGATGCTCAACACCCACAGATAGTGGTCATAATTGTCTGTAATTCCAGTTCAGGGAGCCTGATGCCCTCTCTGGCC